ATGCCCGCGCTCCAGTCCAAGGATTCCCGGGTAATTTCGGTAAAAGGGTTTCCCTCCCCACTTCGGGTGCACCTGCCTCAGGGTCTCACGGCTAAAAGCCAGTCAGGCGGGCCGAGTATCGCGGCCGAGGGGCAGCGACCGGGAGCGAGGGAATGAGAGAGATTTCTCTGTAAATGAAGAGAAAAACGAGATAAAAGAGCGAGGGTGGAAAAGAGGGGCTAGACCGCATTTTATCGGCAGCGTACATTCCTAATTCCCTGTAGTTGGTATTCTGCTTTTCGACGTGGACCACCGCCCACCCTATTCTCTTTACCTCCTGGTCGCAAGGATGAATATGAATATATACGCGCACAAATGTGCTTTATTACGGAAATTCGCCAGTACCGTACTTCGGTCGCGATTTATGTCCTATTTATAATAATAATAATAATAATAATAATAATAATAATAACAATAGATTGCAATCAACATTTGGTAAATATTCATTTTTGTGCTTTTCCTGAAATCAAATGCATTATTAGTTTGTGTAGTGCTCATGCGCCACCATTGTGGAGCGATTTTATTTAGGGCTTGTTCGCGCACTTTCACCTCGTTAACAGGCTCTTACGACCATTGGGCAAGTCCAAGTTTAAATTCGAGGGTCAAAAGTCGTGAGAAGAGCGAAGAGGGTTTGTGGTATCGGTAAGGAGAGAGTCACAGAAGAGGGGACGCCACGTTCGAGCTACTCAAAGCTCGCGAAATAGTTATGATTGTTGTAGAAAATCGAGTTCGGGAAGCGATATTTTATTTATTCTAGGCGCAGATCTGTATGTCAAAAAAAAAAAAAAAGCAAAAAAAAAAGGGCAAAGGGCTTTGTACAAAAGGCCTGATTTCATGTTCTGCACCCTTCATCGAACGCTATTTACACAAAACATTTTTCGCTCAATAGAGGCGTACGAACGAGCGAGCGTCGACTCTCTCAGCTCGGAGAAATGTTTCGAGCCTTGGCGGCACTATTAAATGCGCAAATTAAGGTACAGGAATCGAAATGTCGGTCCTTGGGGCGAATTCTGATATGACGCTGGTGGCTTTCAGTCGTTTGTGGCCTCGTGCCTCCTACTCTCCCATTTGCCGCCGCTGCCATCCCTTTCTACTCTTTTGTAATGCGTGTGTCGCTCCGCCACCTCGGCATCTCCATTATCTCGCGTTCTTTTGTGTCACAAGTGAACCCGCACTTTCGACCACGAGGACAGGAGAAACTAGAGAGATAGAGATTGGTGGGGGGGGGAGGGGGGGGAGGGGGGGGGGGGGGGGGGGGGGGGGGAAGACTTGCCATTATATTCGCCGAAAATCCCTCAATCATGTTTCAGTTCATAAGCCACGCGGGGACTCTCTGGAGTATTCGCTCCCCTCATTTTCCTCTCTCATCCGATATTTATCGATTACGGCGAGTCAACATTTTCGCCTCGATTTTATTTATACCAAGTGCGGAGCCAGAGCAAGCAACCATATATTTATCATCAGCGATCTGTCACGCTCGATGGTAATTGGTCAAGGATGAAAAGGATCCATAGTTATTTCAGCTGCGCGAGTTATTTATCTTGCATAGACCGCGCCGATTTCTTCCTCCTCCCTTTATTAAGTGCCATTACATTTCGATCCGTAACATATTAACTGAGACGGTAATCTATCGGCTGTTGGCATCCGTCACGCTCGGCATATAAAATATCCCATATAAAAGCTCTTTAATTTCCACTAAATTGCCTCGCAAACAAATTGATCCCGAAAGGGTGTAAGCTTCCATAAAAATTTGGCGAAATAATCTCGTATTGCTCGGAAAATAATGAAAATAAAGAAAATAACGAGGATAAAGTTGTTTATGTGCCAAAAAGTAAAATAAGTTAGGTTTTCTTGTTCTCCTGCTCTCCTTGTTCCTCCTCCTCCACCATATCAATTTATACTCATAAAAGGTAAGAGTATTTGAAAATATTAAGTCCATTAAACAAGTATAAATCTTTTTTTTTTTTTTTTTTTTTTTTTTTT